AAATAAGGAAATCCTAAGAAACTTTTATGGCTAAGGGGAGCTAACGAGACAAGACAACAGAACATAATATGGCGTCGCTGTATGGGATCCTGGAACAGAAAAAGGATAGTAGGTAAAAATTAAGGAAATCTCAACAAACTAGACTTTAATTAATATAAATTTATCAATATTGGTTTGCTAATTGTACCAAATGTACCATATAGGGGAAACCGCTACAGGTGTCTTGTACCATCTACTCAATTTTTCTGTAAATCTGAAACTGTTCTAAAAATTAAAGTTTATTTTTTTAAAAAGCAACATTATACATACTGTCATGTGACACCTTAAACTCCTGAGATTGGTAGTGACAGCTATTAAAAGCTAAGTGCCCTGGGGAGGGGGAAGGGTAAATTGGGACAGCGACGTGAGAGAGTGGCATGGACATATATACACTACCAAATGTAAAATAGATAGCTAGTGGGAAGCAGCTGCATAGCACAGGGAGATCAGCTCGGCGCTTTGTGACCACCTAAAGGGCTGGGATAGGGTGGGTGGGAGGGGAATGCAAGAGGGAGGGCATATGGGGATATATGTATACGTATAGCTGATTCACTTTGTTATACAGCAGAAACTAATACAACGATGTAAAGCAATTATACTCCAATAAAGATGTTAAAAAAAAAAATCTAAGTGCCCATGATGTGGCAGGCACTGTTACATATATGATCACATGTAATCCTTAGAACAGCCCAATGAGGTAGGCGGTCTTACCCTTATTTGGCAAATGAGGACATTGAGACTTAGAGATTCTCAGTGATATACCCTTGGTCGCATAGCAAGTAAGTAGCCAGTCCAGGAGTTGAACCCAGGTCCTTACTTTCTCATTTCCTGCCAGAGAAACTTGGCACACATTGGATTATTTGATCTGATTTTTGCAGTAGGAAAAATGGCTCCTTTAACCACCACTTTTTTTTTTTAAATCAGAATAATCTTTATTGATATGCTCGGTGCTACCTTGTTAATATGGTCACGTTGTCGCTGTGGCTGAGGTAATGGGGAGAGCCCCGCCCAGCGCTGGCCCGGGCCCTGGGGGCGGCAGGGCGGGGTCGGCCTGTAGGAGACCTGGTTATTCCACTGATACCGACCAGGGTTCTTGGCCTTCCCCAAATCAATAGAAATTGACTAGAGGCCAGACAAGAAATTCAGGAAGGCTTTATTGGGGCCCCTGCTGTAGCAGGGGGAAGTGAGAACAAACCACAGGTTCCCTTGTTGCTCGCTGTTATATGGGGTAAGGGTAGGGGTGTGTCCAGGGGTCAGGGCAGAGGGGTGGCTTGGGTGTCTTGCCCACCCCTTAGGTGGTGCTGTGTGCAGGAGGCATGTGCAGTACCCTGCTTTTGCTCCCAACACCTTGTTTTTGCTCCTTGCTCTTCAGAAGTGGCAGCTGAGTTGTTTTTGTCTTTTGTATCTTTTGGTCCAGAATTTGCCTCAACTGTGCATGCACACAGTTATTTTTAGCCCCATAGAATTTCTTTGTATTTTGTAGCTTGAGGAGAGGTGTGTCCACCTGCAAGCTTTGCAGCACTGCAGCAAAGGGTCCCAGGTCCCAGGGCTATCTCACCACCACCCCCAGCTCCCTCCTGAGTTGTCCTGCCACCCCCCAGGCCCCTCACAGGCCAGCATCCCAGGCCCAAGACAAAATCAACCAGAAAAATTAATTTTTCTCTCAGCTGAGCACCTGATGTAGGGGAGAGGGGCGGCTCCAGGCCTTCCTGGCCAGGGGCTCCACTAGGGTCATGGTCAGCCCCTGCCCAGCCAGTGCCCTGACGATGCCATATGGGGCACCAGGTGGGAGAGGTGCTGAGCCCCACAGCATGCGGACAGGAGGCTGGGGGCGTACCACCACTCTTTTCTGTGCCATTCATGTCTGTTCTCAAAGACAAGGTGCCAGTTTGGGCTCTGATTACTTCTCATGTGCAAAATCTCAGCAGCCTCTTACCTGGCCTCTCCACCTCCACTCTGCATTTCAATCCACTCTACATGTGGCTGGAAGACATCTTTTTAAAGCGCAGCTCTCTGTATATTACTCCCATCCAAAACCTCTCTAATGCCTACCGAAAAAAAAAAAAAATTCCAGACTACCTTCTCTGGCCCCAACCCCTTCACTTTTGTCTCCCTCACCTTCCTCTTCCCTATACCAGTGTCAGAGGTCTCCACTTCCCATTTCCTAATGGGAAGGTCTCCACTTCCCATTTCCCACTTTCACTCCCTCCTAGAAAGTTCCTGTGCCAGCTCTGCCTGCCACAAACGGACGCATCCCACCAGGCCCCATCTTTTTATGCACACCCCTTGGCATACGCCACATTTCTCAATATTACTTACACTTTCAAACCTGTATCATAGTTAATTGTGCACATACCTTATTTCTCTAAGCCGTGAGATCTTTAAGGAGATGGAATGCGTCACTTCATCTTTGTTTCCCCATCCATCGAGCCCAGACCTGGCCCATCATTACCCTCTAATACATGCCTTGAATGTATGGCAAAATGAATGTAAGTTGGGCCACCTGTTTTTAAACAATTTTCAAAGTGAAAGATTTTCAGATTCCTTCATTTAATAAACCTTTATTAAAATACCTACTATGTGTCAGGCATTTGTGCTAAGTGCTGGAGATGAGAGTGGTTGGTATACACGGGTGCAGACCTGCCCTCATGAAGCTTACCATATAAAGGGGGAGACAAACGTTAAATAAATGGACAAACACATATTTGTTGAATTATAATTGTGATTTTCATTAAGAAGGAAAAATAGAGGGCAACAGTAATGGATAACATTTACATAGCACTCATCAATTGCCGGGCAATGTCCTAGGCGCTTTACATATATTAACTCTTTTGATCTTTATCTCAATTCTAAGCAGTATAAACACTTTACAGATGAAAAAACTGAGGTACAGGAGGGTCAAGTAACTTTCCCAAGGCCCACAGCTAGTATTACAAGAATATTTAACAAAGGGACCTAATGTAGTTTAGCATTATCAGGGAAGCCTCTCCTGGGAAGTGACATCCAGTAGGGATCAGGAGGGTGAATCTGAGTTTGGCCAGGCAAAGAGGCTACCGTGGAAGTGTTTTGGGCAGGGGAAGGTCTGGAGGAGGCATGGGGCTGGCTAACTTGAAGAAGTGACTGGCAAGTAGTGAAGCTGATAAGGCAGGCAGTGGCCATGTTAAGAAATTTGGATTTTATCCTAAAAACAATGTACACTTTAAGTAGGGGAGTGAAGGGATCAGACGGGAGCTTTTAAAAGCTCCCTCTGGCAGCCATGGGGGAGAATAGCTTGCGGGCCTGCAGGGTACATAACCTGTATGCGGTTAGGAGAGAGGATGGCGGCAAGGAGCATCGGCAGCGCAGGTGGAGAAAAACTATGAGATTTTCTACATTTAGGACAGACGCCGCAGGATTTGGAAATTGGTTATGGCACCTGGGGGGAGGCTGCAATGTTACACAGGGCACTCCAGTTTTCTGCTTTGGGCATCCCGGTGGATGGTGGTGCACTGAGCAAGATGGGGAAGACTGGAGTTCAGGTTGAGACGAGCATAAGGATTGCGGTCCTGGCCATTGTGTGGTCCTGGTCTTGTGAGTCACCTAAGTGGAGTGGTGCAGGCCATTGGATGAGGGCTCAGAGGGCAGGGAAGGGTGGAGATATACATATGGCAGTTAAGGGCACAAAGAAGAGGCTTGCGTGCACGGACCTGCCCATGTACAAAGAGCAGAAAACACAGCCCAGCTCCAAGGAGCCCTCACGTTCAAAGGTGCTGTCTGCCCCAAAATGTTGCTGATTAGAGCGTCTCTTGACTATTTCTCAGCATCCACTACCTGAAAGCGGGTCAGAAGTAGCTCTCCCCCCACACCTG